TTGTCACAGGAGAATTGAAAAAGTGGCATCTGGTAAAAGAAGAAGAACAAAATCCGCAAAGGAAGAATGTTAGGATGATCCCTGAAGTGTCTCTCACTCGGCTTCTTTCGACAAAGGTAAGACTTGCCTGACGTTTGGTTACATTACCAGTATCTTCTTTGTTATTCATGTGACAGAATGGGGAAATCACTAAAAGCAAAACCGAAAAGTGCAGGAAATCATATTGAAAAAATGGAAAATGCCTGAGCTAGACAAAGTGAGGGAATGAATGGTAGTTGTCGTAGGGGAGCACTTATCGAAGGGACGGTTATGGCGGTGGTAAAATAAGAATGAACAATTGAGTGGTTGTGGAAGGAAATAAGGAAGTCATCATACAGATAAACTGGAAAAGGCTCCCAATCCATCTCATTCGGCCCCGTCTATTTCACAAAGACAGAAATCGTTCTTGAATGATTAAACACCCCAAAACTTTTGACTTTCATGCAATTGCAAAGTAAGGAAGTTACCGGTGTCTACCAGCAAATTCTGATCCGTCTTTGATGAGTAATAAAAAAACTGCGCTTGTGGATTTGATTGGACAGTAGAACGTCAAACCTTACTGGGAAATGCGACAATTATTCTCTTTAATCGTAATTCTAGTAAAATATTATCATGACTGTATCTTCGCATTGATTACCATGGGCAACGACTTCCTTTCATTGTATCAGTTCCTTGAAGGCTATCATTGTTGTCGAGTAAAATGAGCAAAGAGGTGCTGCAAAGCAGTTTCCGTCTTGGCGAGATGTAATCAATATTATATATCACTGAAAACTCTTATTGCTTCAATCTGACGTCTAACGTTATGTAACATAGTTTTTTTATTACCCATTAGCAAGCACTACAGCCGTACGTTGACGATTTATTTCGATCCATTCTGACCGAGGAAATTGAAATCCGAGGTCTTCTCCTACCAATCAAATATATCTTCGACTTCTTGGACAAAGAAGCTGAAAAACTACACCTCGGAAATTCTGATGTTCTCCACACATGGAAAAGCAACAGGTAAAGAGAAAGCTATGTGAATATTGTCATATCAAAACTATATTTGGAGTTGAACATCCATTTAAAACATTTTAATGTCCCGGCAGTGTACTTCTAAGATTCTGGGTGAACATCATAAAGAACCCAGAGTTTGCGTTTGACATTCACAAGAACCCCACGGTGGACTCTTGCTTGTCCGTCATTGCACAGACTTTCATGGCGGCCTTCTCCGAATCCGACAATCCAATTGGTCAGTCGCTCATTCTCTGCACTTCGTTTGCTTCGAATGTTGAAAAATAAATGTCCCAGTCGAGCTTTGAGAAATTTCATTCGTGCGTGAAATACATCTAAGAGGTGGAAATGAATGTATACATATAAAATTTCCGAAAATGTAAGAACTTGGGCGCTTTGGGAACGATTGCTTGAATACCGAAGGCATTGCATGTATACATTGCGACGTCTTCGGGAATGTCTTCATTTCTTCTGACACCCCATGCTGACTATCATTTTCGAGAATTGCGCATCCTTCCGGAAAACTGGAATTTTACACTTTAATCATTGCTTCAGACTGTCTTACGAGTTTACCTCATGCTTAAACTTTGCCATAGTTTCATTTTATTTTATATGGCTTGATATTTCCTTTCCGAATTGGACAATGTATCACTTCACATAAACGAAAACTTATCCGCTAAAGCAGGAAATATGTTTGCTAAATGAAGCCCTCTGAGACTAAATCATACGGAAAAGGATATAGCGTGAGTTACAACCACATTGATAATCATCCCATGAACAAATGATGAGCACGGAGAACCTCTTATCCTCCTTTAAACTCTTTCGCTGCGTCATTTACGAGGGTAGATCAGAAAGTAAGGTTACAGTACTTGCGTCTGCCAGTTGGTGAAGTTATTTTCAAATCTAATATTGTAAGTATATTAGGATTTACTAAGAAGGTTTTCCTGATTACCGAATGCGCTCTGGTGCGCATTGCATACGTACATTACAAGTTGAAAGTGGCTACGCGAATAGAAAGTCGGTCACGCGAGGAAGTTCTTGGTGTATTCAGATTTCTTTGAGTAAGACACGAGCCAGCAGTGGGATTGTATCGCCAACTTGTCGACGTGCATGGTGATCATATAATGTCCTGGCAGACTGTATCAGGATGATGCCAATGGATTCAGAAGGAACGGGTGAGTGTGACTGATGAAGATCGAAGTGGCCCGTACGAGCTCTTCCGAGTCAGAGGAACACAAAGGTTCCACGCGACTCGCACGCGTGGAACGTTTTATCCTGAAGGACAGAGGACTCTCTGTACATGATGTAGCTGCTTAGGTTTTTAAAGTTTACATGGCATATCATATGGAACTACGCATGCCATCGCAACAAGGACCAGAGCCCACTTGTTACTCAGGAATTTTCTGGAGTTTCCGTTTATCTGTGCTAACTCCATTGTCCTAAAAATACGACAATCGTAGTGAGGCTCCGACTCTGAGGCTTTGTGGACCTTGTCAGTTACCTAAAGGTCAATTGAGGAAGGACACGGAAATCGGTAAGAATTAAGTAATCGTGGCAATCGTTATTCATCATATTATTCATCATGATAATGAATGAACAATTTCTGCTGGCATGGTCAAAACTAAAGATTAGACTAAGATGGAAACGATAAATATAATTTCTAATTCTTATTGACACATGTGGAGTTCCCACTTCAGGAGCATGAATCACAAGAAGTCCCTCAAACACAGGGGATGCCTTTAGAGACATGTTCATTGAAAATCCACATTGTAATGGAGGGCCGAGTGATAATCATTATACAGAAGCAGATTAACATGAACATATTTATGCCGAGAAGAGAAAATAAGATATTTTAGGAAGTTATATGTTTTTTGTGGCTAACGAAAACAGGGAACCTTGAATGATCGCACTGTAATGGGGGTCAACCATTCAATATCCAGACTCGATAACCCCTTAGAGAGAAAAAAAGCTTTTTCTTACATGGATTACCATGGATCTTCTTTTCTCTCATAACCAGGAAAAGACAGCCCTAGTTGGAGACTTTTATATGCCAAGGAGATCCCTGTGTACAAGAAGATGGTCAGGGAGTATTACAAGAATATCAGGTCGATGCCTCCAGCCACCAATCAGGAGATGAAGGCACTTTTTGATGAATATTCCACGGTTAGTTTTATTGTCTGAAAGTATCGTCAAAGAGTCTAATAATTTGCAAATATTGTACATTATACTAAATAGAAAATGCTATCGCATACATAAAAGTTGTACGCATTTTCGGCAATGCATTTCATTGAGAATTGAATTTTAATTCGTAATCTTTGTGCATTAAATCACTATTTATAAGTTTTCGAATAGCCCTTAAAATAATGTTTGCCCATTATGTTATCAAAGTTGAGCATGTAATGGCAGTGCGTGATGAAGTCCCATGTAATGCTTCAGTACAGGAATGTACATACATTTTGTTCTACTGCAGGCCAAAGGGGCGACATTCAACATGCATGATGCATTCGTGGAACTCTTGGAATATGCAAAAAATGTCAGCCGCCAACTAAAGAAAGCCTTGGAAGCAGAAGATGAGGAACTAGGAAAAGAATTTTCGCGTGTACTCGATCTTGAATCATCATCGTGATCCGTACCAAGATGCAAAATGAGACTTTCAGGATATGCACAAACGACGAAAATTTCATGCATTAATATTTATCTACGTAAAATGGAAATCCCACATGATCACTAAAGAGCTATGTACGAATATGAATGTATTTAGCTGAGTCAAGACAGTGTCCGTGCATCAGAGAATATGTTCATGCCACATTTGCTGCATGACGCACTTAGGGCGTTTCGTGCTGAAGGCATAACGGTCAAATGCATTATTATTGCATTTTTATAAATGCTATCAACGAGTAAAAGCCTAAGCAGGTTTGTTGTGTTTCATTCCACCAATTAAAGCCACCATATTTCAGCATGCTTTTCATTTCATGTATTGTCCACCTTTATTTTTATAGAGAACATGATCCAATAGATTGAACTGAAAAAATAACAAGTCTTATAAGCAACAACAACAGTTAATGGACTAAATGTTGTGCTGGGTGGGCAAAAAAACAATGCTGTCCTTTTTGGTGAGTTTCAATCTAATCATTGGCTGCTGATTCTAATGAAATTCAGTAGGCATATACTGTGACACAATAGGGTTGTGTGCTATATTTCACGTCCAAATTCTAAAAACTGTGAAATTGGCATTTGATATACTTTTCAGCACTACTAAAGTTCATATTTTCTTAGAACTTAAAATGTCACTCCACTTACAAAGACAAATGATAACTAACGGGAAAAAAATATGCACAAATGCCAATAATAAAAGCATTCACTCTGGTTTAAGAAGGCTCATTTCAACATACCTCGTATAAGGTGGTCATTGTGATGTCCATTCTGTTGAGCAGAAGCCTCTAGTATCGGAAGCCACAGATCAATGGCTCGGTCAAAAAAATTTGGGGTAGTCCTTCCAAATATTCTATAGTACCAAGCAGGGATAGATGGATAAAGGGTCCTGAATTCGGTTCCCCTATTCATCCCGGCCTTAGGATCATATCGATATTTACGAAAGCACATTTTTTCATGCGTCATTATATGTATGTAGCTCTTATGTTTTTATATTCAGACAGCTGAAATTCAGACTAAAAACTTAAATTGTATCACACTAAAAGCCAACCAAATTTGATCAAAATTGGATGCCTGCAATGAGATTGACAAATCACAAAAAGTGACTTCTTTTTGGCCTACTTCATACGTCTTTGGTAGAGCTTGTCATTGTCGTTCATTTTAAGTCTTGAACCACCAGGCACAAGAAGAGAATCTCATGAAAATGGGCGAGAGATGCGTTTTTCAAGTGAGGGAAACCACGCATGTACATCTCATGCGGACCCATTATGTATGCATTATATTGAAGTATATGCACGGATAAGACCAATATTTGCCCCAGAACGTTTACCTGTGCCATACAATTATATATTATCATATGTGCATGAAATGAAGCAAGAATGAACGTAGGGAGGGATTCGTGATGAATGAAGACAACAACTACATCTTCTGCATGATATATTTCTCCGAAAATCAAGAACGATATTCATGGCATGCAAATTCACACCATTCGCTGAATATACTACTTTGTGGTAGATGTAAATGAAGGAGCGGTTTGAGAGAATTCACGCATCTTTGCTGGACTGCAGAAAATCCATTGGCAAGACCCAAATTTTCGGAAGCCAATCTTGGAGAAGAGCTCAAAGGATGTAGGATTATCATCAACAATGGTAACATAAGGGACTAAGCCAAACATTTTCACAATGTGATGAGACACCCATCTAATTAGGGCAGTTGCAAGACCTTTTCTTCTATGATGCTCCCTCACATGCAGCATCCCTTGGGCACCATATGAATTCAACACGTACCACCCTGCCAACTCCTCTGTAGGAAAATATTTTCCATTCCCAATTAGCAATCATCGTTCATACGATACAGTCTGCAAACCATTAATTTATTATTATTTACTAAATGAAATTCAGTATAGATGATTCTAAAATCAATGATTCATTCAAATAACGTTCGCTTATTGTCGGGAACACAGGTGAGATGCCCCTATAAATGTTCATTTGTAAGCATTACTTTTCTATTTAGTATCCCATTCATCCGTATCGATTTGGAATACTTTTGATCGTTTTGATTTCGGAGAAAAAACCGCTCTCTCACACAAAAACTCCTGCGCTCTACCCATGACATTTAATCGTTAGCTTTGTCCGTCCTGGTTAGTTCTATGCGATTTTTGGCATGTTATTTCATATGGCAGGTATGGACCTGAAATAATTATGCAATTTAAGCTTTTTTGCGAATTCATTTTATTAATACTTCCGGTAGATTGACGTTGGTGATTACCCGCATTACATCTATATATATAAAGACGTATGTCCTGACTGACTGACTGACTGACTCATCAACGCCCAGCCCAAACCCCTGAACCCAGAAACATGAAATTCGGGGAGTATATTCCTTCT